GATGATGGTGATGATTGATGATGATGATGATGATGATGATGATGATGATGATGATGATTGATGATTGATGATGATGATGATAACAGCATCAACAAAAATGATGGTAATGATAGCATAATTAATAATAATAATAATAATAATAATAATAATAATAATAATAATAATAATAATAATAATAATAATAATAATGAGTAATAATAATTAATAATAATAACAATAAACAATTATGCTGATGATGACAATAATGATATAACATCATCAAAAATAATGGTAATGATAACCCGACTGGTAATAATAATGATAATAATAATAATAATAACAGCAACAACAACAACAACAACAATAACAACAATAGTAACAGTAACATGATGATAATGATGAACAATGAAATAACAACAAAAGTGACAATAACAAAAAAGATAAAAATGCTAATATTCCTATTCCTACAAACAACACAACAACAACAACAACAACAACGAAAAGACAACAATACTAATAATGACAATAACAATCATGATAACAAAAGCAATGATATCGATAAAAATAATAACAGCAAGACTGCAACTACTACTAATGACAGTGCACGAGATAAGATGATCTTAAGCGCATTCTTGAGACAATTTTCTTATAATAAAGACATGACTAAGAAGTATTTTTAATTATCGATGGAATGTAATAATAAGAACAAAACTTATATTGATATCAATAATAATAAACAGTAATGATAATGCTAATAGTAGTAGTAGGAGTAGTAGTAGTAGTAGCTAATAATAATAATGATAATGATAATGATGAGGATTATAATAATGCCATAATGATAAAAATAAGGATAATTAATATAATAATATATAATGATGATGATGATGATGATGATGATGATGATGATGATGATGGATGATGATGTGATGATGATAATGAATAATGAATAACAATAATAACAATAATAATAACAATAATAACAATCAACATCACCATCATAATCATAACAACTACAACCACCACCACTAACAACAAACAACAAACACAACAACAAAAGCAGATTCCACTCGACCCCGTGAAGTGAAGACATCAAAAGTGTCAACAATTCTCTTGGTCATTTCTCAGCCGAGGCAATGGCGAGAGCTGGTCAGGCGATGGAGGTGGATGAAGGAGGTGGATGAAGGAGGGGGATGAAGGAGGTGGATGAAGGAGGTGCCGTGTGAAGGAGGTGATGAAGGAGGTGGATGGAGGAGGTGGATGAAGGAGGTGGATGAAGGAGGTCGTGTGAAGGAGGTGGATGAAGGAGGTGGGGAGGTGAAGGGAGGTGGATGAAGGAGGTGATGGATGAAGGAAGGTGGATGAAGGAGGTCGAGGTTGGATGAAGGAGGTGGATGTGGAAGGAGGTGGAGAATGAAGGAATGGGGAATGGATGAGGAGGTGGATGAAGGAGGGGAGTGGATGGAATGAAGGAGGTGGATGAAAGGTGTGAAAGGAGGTGGATGAAAGGAAGGAGGTGGATGAGAAGGGTGGATGGAAGGAGGTGTGAAGGAGGGGATGAAGGAGGATGGAAGGAGGTGGAAGAAGGAGTGGATGAAGAGGTGGTGAAGGAGGTGAAGGAGGTGGATGAAGGAGGTGGATTGAAGAGAGGTGGATGAAGGGAGGTGGAGGTGAAGGAGGTGGATGAAGGAGGGGTGAAGGAGTGGATGAAGGAGGTCGTGTGAAGGGAGGTTGGATTGAAGGAGGGGGTCGTGTGGTGAAGGAGGTGGATGAAGGAGGTCGTGTGAAGGAGGTGGATGAAGGAGGTGTGAAGGAGGTGGATGAAGGAGTGGATGAAGGAGGTGGTGTGAAGGAGGTTCGTGTGATGGATGAGGAGGTGGTGTGAAGGCATGAAGGGTGGTGGTGAAGGAGGTGATGAAGAGGTCGTGTGAGGGGAGGTGGATGAAGGAGGTCGTGGGTGTGGAAGGAGGTGGATGAAAGGAGGTGGATGAAGGAGGTGGATGAAGGAGGTTGAAGGAGGCGGGTGAAGGAGGTGGATGAAGGTGGTGAAGAGGTGAGTGAAGGAGGTGGTGATGGAAGGGAGGTCGTGTGAGGGAAGGTGGGATGAAGGTCGTGTGAAGGAGGTGGATGAGGAGGTGGTGGATGAAGGAGGTGAAGGATGGATGAAGGAGGGGGGGATGAAGGAGGGTCGTGTGAAGGAGGTGGATGAAGGAGGGTGGATGAAGGAGGTCGTGTGAGAGGAGGTGGAGAAGGATGAAGGAGGTGATGAAGGGGGTCGGTGAAAGGATGAAGAGGTGGATGAAGGAGGTGGATGAAGGAGGTGGATGGAAGGAGGTGCGATGAAGGGAGGTCGTTGAAGGAGGTGGGAAGAGAGGTGGAGGTGTGTGAAGGAGGGTGATGAAGGAGGTGGATGAAGGAGGTGGATGAAGGAGGTCGTGTGAAGGAGGTGAATGAAGGGAGGTGGGAAGGAAGGAGGTGAATGAAGAGGTGGATGAAGGAGGTGGTGGGATGTGAAGGAGGGTGAAGGGGTGAATGAAGGAGGTGGATTGAAGGAGGGGTCGTGTGAAGGAGGTGGAATGAAGGTGGATGAAAGGAGGTGGGTGAAGGAGGGTCAAGGAGGTGGAATGAAGGAGGTGATGAAGGATCGTGTGAAGGAGGTGAATGAAGGAGGTGGATGAAGGAGGTGATGAAGGAATGGACCCGAGGATTCGGTGTAAACAAAAATAATGAATAATAATGATAATAATAATGATGATGAAAATAATGATAATAATTGATAATAATAATAATAATAATGATAATAATGAATATGATAATGATATAATAATAATAATAATAATAATAATAATAATAATAATAATAATATAATAATAATAATAATAATAATAATAATAATAATAATAATGTAATAATGATGATGATGATGATGATAACAACAAACAACAACAACAATAATATAATAATAATAATAAATAATAATAATAATAATAATAATAATAATAATAATAATAATAATAATAATAATAATAATAAATAAATAAATAAATAAATAAATACAATGAAAAACAAATAAGAATAAGAATGATGTTGCTAATAATGACAATGATGGTATTACTACGACTACTACTAGTAGTGGTAATAAAAATAATAATAATAATAGAAATACTACTACTAATGATAATAATAACAATAATATCAACAACAACAGCAACAACAAAAATAAAAATAACAACGATACTACTAACACTAATAATAATTTACGAGATAAGGTCGTTTGTAGCGTATTATTAAACCTATTTTTTCAAATATAAACCTAAGATACATCAGTTTGAGATATAAGAAATTCATCGTCGTTGTGCGGGAATAAATATGATTTTCGACAATGGTACAATCTGTCGAAAGAATTGCTTAATCTAGTGAAAAACAAATAGAAATTATCATCATATATATGTAATATTCGAAGATATGAGCATGAGATTCATTATCTTAAAAGTAATTTTTGCCATGATTCCGTCTCGTATGAAATAAAAAATAATAATAATAACACGTTTAGGTCACGTCATGTATTGCAGATTCTGAGACAAATTAAAGCTAAATAGACGACTTTCACGTTAGCTATTATCGCCTTCGCAATCCTTATAAACCGACAAAAACAAATTAGTAAAATAAAAAGAAGAAAAAAAAGGAAAAAAAATGCTTCAGAAGTTTCGGGTCAATATTGGCTTATTCACTACATACTCCCGGGTGAACTTGCAGCCCCAAAACCATGAATCTTCATTAATTCCCTATGATTTTCCTGCATAAACATAAAATAGTATATTGGATTTTGTAATACCCGGTTTATATATGGACATGAAAAGCCACGAAAACTGGTGGAGTATTACTGGACTCGATATATACGAGACAAGGAGAGGAACAAACATTCTATTTTTAGAAGTGGTTCTCAATCACATTTCGCTAATTTTGACTCAAAACAAATCAACGGACGAAATAAATAAAGGATAAGGTACGAACTTCCATAAACACCAATAAACAGCAACGATAATAACAGGAATAACAAGTAAAATCAAACGTAAGCGCGGCCTGAAGTTTTCGAACCTCGTGCGCCGCATGCTTTGATCACATGATTCGAAACCTAAGGCACCATCATAAGAATGCTCCATCCAACATTACGCTGGAATGTGTCACGAAAGACGAACATCCTATGCATGCGATCACGGTCTCATTCCGGCCCTCGACATGGGTATTTGAGCTATTTTACGTTTTATTGTCCGGGTTATTCGCACCCTCTGTTTCATTTACGGTTTCGAGTCACGAGTCGAATCTTACGCGCTCAGTGTGTGTGTATGTGTGTGTGTGAGAGAGAGAGAGAGAGAGAGAGAGAGAGAGAGAGAGAGAGAGAGAGAGAGAGAGAGAGAGAGAGAGAGAGAGAGAGAGAGAGAGAAAGGAAAAAAAGTATAAGCAGAGAGGCAGAACAGTAAACAAGTGATATAAGCATGCGAATCCCTTTCAGTTTAATTAACCTGCTTTCGACTTCCTGTAAATCAAAGTCTAAGAAACGTGCGACCTTTAAAGATCCAGATTCAGTCAGTTCGGTCGACACGTTCATGAAAAAGGTCATGCATAAATAACTCATGAATACATTAATACATAGCCCTGATATTTCACATTGCCTTCTCTATCTCATTTAATTCTACATTTTCTTCCTCGTAGGCCTATATACACTGCACAATTTTTTCTTTCCATTGTGTTTTCTTTCATGCATGTATGTATATGGATATGTATCCAACTGTGTGTGTGTGTGTGTGTGTGTGTGTGTGTGTGTGTGTGTGTGTGTGTGTGTGTGTGTGTGTGTGTGTGTGTGTGTGTGTGTGTGTGTGCGTGTGCGTGTGCGTGTGCGTGCGTGCGTGCGTGTGTGCGTGCGTGCGTGCGTGCGTGCGTGCGTGATCGAGATGAATTTACTCGAAAAGAATGAGAATTTTGTCTTAAGCCTTTTGAGATCAGCTGATCTATCCTAACCTAAC